TTAATTTTAAGGGAATGTTCCCTACTTATGTGCGACTAAAAGATTTCAAATTTATCTCTTCTAGTGTAGCCCCAGCACCTTTCCATTTGCCGGGTCACTGAAGCCGACATCTACAACTGACATACCACATAGTTGCACAATTAAATTCCCGAACTTCGAGGCCCAGTATGTCACAGGTTTAGCTACACACAACTGACATACCACATAGTTGCACAATTTACTTCCGAACTCCGAGGGCCAGTATTTCACAGGGTTAGCTACACTTATTTCCTTGCGATCTTGCCTATGGCACGAGAAGTGCAAAAACGCATAATCGCACCGGCCCGCCTGGTGCGTTCCAGCCTGGGTTCTATAGTTTTAATTTGTTGCAAACTAGTACTTGCGAAACAATTTCAAAACTCAAGAAAAGCTGGGGACACTAATTGTCCGCATGATTTTTTGATAAACAGAAAATAAAAGAACATTTGAGCCAAGCCTAGCAAAATCCTTTACATGCCCATTTTTAATGTGAGCTGGAAGTACTTGCGAGTGATTCGTGTGATTGCATGCAGATGCTAACAAAGCTGGCAAGGCTGCCGATGGCCTCCATTCCGTTGCTAAAATTTCTTTTGTATTTGGCCTCTCACTAGCGGATGTCAGAACTAAATTCCGAAAAATAAAACAGAAACAAAGAACCATATTCAAGGCATCCACGAATGGCGTGTAGTTGGAGGTGACTTGTATAGCCGGATCGAAGGTCAGAAATATGTGTAAACCGTCTTTGTGAATTTGTCGCGTGTAATTCCCAAGTCCACTCCATTTTTCCTGAAAAATAAGACAGAATGAATTACAGATGATCTACTGACTGGTTCTCGGATTTCAATTGATGCAAAATTTCACGTAGTTCACGCACTTTTCCAACGGTGAAATCGGTGTATCGTTCCATATAATCGATATCCGCATATACAACATCAAGTGGTACACCAACTTTTTGTACTCTGCTCACCACCGCTTTCATTTCATCCAGACCAGTATATCCAAAGCGACAAAGCTTGAAAATAAAGACAGATCACTTTTCCAGAGTTAGGATTTTTTTTTTAGTAAAGCTAGGAGTCTGATAGCGAGAACGGCTCAATAACCCTCTCCCTCTTATCCAGTTTGCATACTGGTCAAAACAGCGTAAATTATTGAGCTTTTTCCATTACTGGTATTATTCTACTGTTGCCCAGAAAATCGCAGGATGAAACAAATACGAACTGCGCGGATGGTAAGAAACCAAGCAGCTGCTCAAAACACCAAAGTACCACTTTTCTTTTGCATACTTCACTCGGGATAACTCTCATCAATTGTACGAATTATCCCAAGCTTAGTAATAGCTCAGGAGCTTGCCCTTGAATTTTCGCCACTGGTTTAGCTTGTGCATAATTAAACATACCGGCCAGACGCATCGATCTGTCGTAGAAAAAAGCAAAAAATGAATTTTCTAAATTCACAACAACTTGCACTGCTTAAATACCTGGAAGCCGAATGCAAAATAAGCCGGGAGATAGGGCTTTCCGATGAAAGTGAGATACTGCTTAATGACATCCTCTGGCTTCGGGCCGGGAAAGAATGTGATGTCGAGCATGCCGCCAATCGTCCGATAGACAAGATGCGGCCATGGACCAAGCGTTACTTCCTGAAAATCCCATACAGTTAAATTTTGATGAATTGTTCGAGAAAAAAATTGTGCAAAGTGTGTTAAATAAGCGAAAAATTGTTCTTCCTAAAACGTTTTGTTTCTGCCGTCGAATAGCGAATATTACGATCCACTTCCCACTTTTCCCCTCTAATTCTCGCAGCTTTTTCCGAAAAGCAGTTTTTTACCACTCAAAAGTCATCCCCCAATCATTGATTATTTCGTTGATATTATCACACCGCATTCAACATGTTTTGTTCCGCTTGTAAATGTGATCCTCAAAAATTAAAACCGAGGCTGGAACGCACCAGGCGAGCCGGTGCGATCATGCGTTTTTGCATCAAAACTTTGAGGTACTCCATAAAATTTCCCTGCCTTTTTGAAATGCCAATTTCCAGGTCACTAAAAAGTAAAAGTATTGCCCGAGCGGTCGTTTCCAAAAAAATCGCGTTCATTTGCATATAGGATTGCAGTTAAGGTCCT